TTTTGATATAGAATCATTAATTACATATACAAACCTTATAAAAAACGTATCATTTCCTTATTTCGATTTCTTATAAGGCCAGTTATAAGCCTAGGACTTAGGAATAAATCAGTAGATTACTACATATATTAAAAGAAATAACACTCAAACATCTCATTTAACTGTAGCAATCCACTAAAATCACACGTTAACAGTATGTTTGGTTTTGATATTAGGACACTTGTATTTAAAAATGATAGCTAAATTATAAGAAATTATAATTCATGAATTTTATATCAAAATTGATTGCCAATCACTCCTCTTTAAGTATATCACAAATTAGAATCTTTAAATTAAGGTAACTCTAAATAATATTAAATGTGTTTATTCTATTTATCTAAAATAACTTGATATACTTGTTTAAAATAAAACTTAAATTCTAAAGGATTAACATTATAATAATTACATTTTTTAATTATTATAAATAAAATTAGAGAATCATTTGCATCAAATTTTAATGTACACCACCAAAAGTGTTTGGTAGTTTCAAATGATCGGCATTTTTATAAAAAATTGGCTAAAATTCAAATCGAATTTTTTCAAAACTTTATTTATAATATTTAATAAAATTTATATTACCAGAATCCTCTGGTTATTAACTTTATAAATCTGCTATTAATATATTGTAGGGTTTCCTTTACTTTCAATTATAATGATAACTCTCTGAGGCATACTATTTACCAAATTTTTCAAAATATTATTATTAATTTGTAATCACTTTTCCTGCAAAATTGCAATAAGTTCTCCCTTATTTTTTAGTAAGGATTCATGTTCATGTGTTTTCTTTCCAAGATGATCCCATAAATGCTCAATTGGGTTAAGATCAGGGCTTTAAGCAGATTATGGAAGAGAAAATATCAAATTTTCTTCTTTTTACGTAAGTCCTATATTTACTCTATATACAGAAGCATTATCATTTTAAAAAGTGAAGCTAATATTTTCACTTAGGCATTCTGTATAAAGATAATAAATGAGTTTGTAACATATTTTTATATACTGCGTCTGTTATTCTTTCATCTAGCACTATTAAAAGACCAAGCTTATTTTTAGCAAAACAACCCTCATACCATTACTTCATTATTACCAGATTTTACTGTAGGAACCAAGCAGTTTATATCATATTTTTCATGGCATTGATGCTAAACCCATTATTATCTATTATTTTGAAATAAAGAAACCAGGATTCATCATTTCAAATAACATTATCTCATTCCTCATTTCAGGTTTTATGCTCGACACTATTTTAAGTGTTTTTTTCTATTATTCTCTGAAATAAAAGGTTTCCTTTTTCCAATTCTTCCAAAATATTTATTTTTATATAGTTTTCACCTGGCAGTACTATTACTAATTTGAGTAAGATTTAGTTTGTTGAAATATATATATATATTTGTGTTATATATTTCTAAACACCCTAGATGAGACTAAAAATTGATGTGATTATATTATTATGATTATAAAAAGAATATTTTTTTATTTAAAAAGTTAGAAATAAACTATAATATAGGCTATTTAACCCAATATCATTATAAGATTTTTCACTCTCATGTGACTTTGACTAGCATTACGGCATTAGTAAATTATCCATATGATAAATAAAATGTAACAAATATGATTTTACTCTGAAAAAAATTTTTAAGTCTTCAGAATAATGGAAAAATGATGGTGTAACATGAGGTAATAAATATTGTAAAAATTTACTAAATCATGTGAGAATGAAAATTTTGTGACGATACTGGATAAGATAATGTAAGCTAAAGAAGAGGTGTGATTATATAGAAGGTAACTATAGAAGAGGTCAATTGTATATTAAAATCATTTATGATTAAATTACTTTTATATTAATTATCATAATATAGTAAAACCTTTTTATAAATACAGTCAAACCTTGATATAGCGAATCCTTGATATAGCGAATTTTTAAATCAAATATATTAAAATTACCTTTATTATAGGGAACTAGCCAATTAAATTCTTTAAAAAATTCATTATAAACTTATAACGAAGTTGATATCCAGATCCTAAAATTCGTTATATCAAGAGTTCACTGTATATACTTTGAAAAAATTTACTATATAAGATTATAGATATATCTGACTGTAGTTGTTTTAATACTGAAGTTTCTTATTTTTATAATTTTATTGTTATTATTATTATTGTTATTATTATTGTTGCTGTTACTATTCTATATCTTCATTATTAAATTTCTTTGGATTATTTTTTTAGTAAAATCCAAATATCTATATGATTGCTTCTCCTAAAAGCATTTTTTTTAACACTATATCTTCTTAATCATATAATATTACAATTTTAAAATTTGTGTTTGAATGATATAATACTTTTTTTAACTACCACTTATATAACATATATAAAATGAATTTTTATTTATTGATTATATAATAGAATAATATTATCAATATTTTAATATAGAGTTTGGATCTATATATCTGTAATTCATGTATCTGTATGGATAACAGATTGTGGATACTCATTTTACTACTTCGGATAATATCCATGAATAAATAATTTTGTATAGATAATCTGTAAATAATCCTTATATCCATGGATAATCATGAAAAAATATCATTCTTAAGGAACGATAATTGAATCGTTTCAAAAGAACAATGAAAAAATCATTCTTAAGAAACGATAATGAATCATTACAAAAGAACGATGAAAAAAATAATCATTCTTTTTAGAACGATGATGTATCATTCTAAAAGAACGATAAAAAAATCATTCTAAAGGATCATTCTGATAGAACGATGAAAAAATAATCATTCTAAAGAAACGATTATGTATCATTTCAAAAGAACGATAAAAAATTAATTGTTCTAAAGGAATGATGATGCATCATTTTGATAGAATGATGAAAAAATAATCATTCTAAAGGAACGATTATGTATCGTTCCAAAAAAATAATAAAAAAAATGTTCTTTTTGGAACAATGATATATCGTTCCAATAGAACAATGAAAAAAATAATTGTTCTAAAGAAACGATTATGTATCATTCCAAAAGAATGATAAAAGAAATCATTCTAAAGGAACGATGAAAAAAATAATCGTTCTAAAGGAACGACGATGTATCATTCCGAAGAATGATAAAAAATCATTCAGAACAATGATATATCGTTCCTTTGGAGACAATTTTATCAATATTCATATTATCCATATATCCATGGATAACTTGGATATGGATTATCTGTATTATCCATATATCTATGGATAACATGGATATGGATTATCTATTCAATTTTTTTTAAATTATCCATATCCAGATTTAATTTTTATATGTATAACGGATATTAAATTTATATTATAAATATATATCTATGGATAATATGGATAAACTCTATTTTAATATAATTAGTAAATATAAATTATTAGACGTTTTAAATATAATTTTAGTCCATTAATGCAGTGATGGCAAATTATAAGGTCATTTATTTGACTTGAAATTTATAATAATAATGAACCATAAAAAATCAAAGATCTACACTAAAATTTTGCTAAAAAAAGGTATGTAATTATGTTGATAGAAAATCATTAATGATAGAATAATTTTATCTGCTATCAGTAATGTCAAACGAAGTTCAAAAATTGAGGAACGAATTAGTTGTTGAATTTCCGGGAAGAACGCGTCAAATTGATACCTTAATAAATTTGTTTGGAGAGGTAAATAGGCTACATTGCTAACAAAAATAATATACTATTACTAAATATTTTTAAACATTTTTTTGATATAGCCTATGGAAAAAACTCCACCTTCAATTTTTATACATGGAAATAGAGCATTGGGTAAAACCGAAATTGTAAAGAATCTATTCAAGAGAGGATTTCCCACGCACCACTATTCGTTCCTCAACTGTAAATTATACTTCCAACTCGATGATATATTTGAAGTTTCTTTAAAACATTTATCTGGTAAAAAACATAAATGTAAAAATGTTGATGAATATGCTACAATATTACAAGAGATATGCGAAACTGCTGAGGAAACTAGATACATGGTAGGAAAATATAATCCATTCAATTTTTTATTACATGATAATTAATCCTTTCTACAATTTAGATATTCGACAATGCGGAATTGCTATGGAATCTTTCTCAAACTTTGGTGTCTATTATCTTAAATCTCCCACAGTGGGTAAGTACATGATGACTTGACATAAATCTAATATTATATTCTTTATTTATGAATTCAATTCTCTTTTATTAAGACCGGGGCAAATCTTTGTATAATCTTTATTACACAAGTTCCGTGGGAGAAATTTCGAAGATATGTGGGAATAATTGAACCTTTTCAATTATATTTTCCCGAGTACTCAAAAAATATCCTTTATTTTGATTCATTGCTTACATCTTTTCATCATTTCTTTTTCAAATCCTTAATAATTTAATTACGCGATGTCATTCAAATCCTTGAAAAAACTTGTTCGAATGAAGAAGATATTGAACTTTATAGTACATTTATCAATTATATATACGAGGTTTTTTCGGATTCTTGTGATCTAATTGATTTGTTTCGCATCATACCAGATATTTATCAAAAATTTATTCAGCCAATAAATGAGGGAAGAGGTATACGATAATGATAATAGATTTCGTCTTTTGGCTACTATTTCATTATTAACATACTTTAATTTGTCCTATATAGTATCAATTAATGATTATTCACTCTTATTCGACGAATTAAAGCCATATTTAGAATCTGCATTGGACAATTTATATTCACAATACATAACACCATTAATAGGTATAATTAAAAATTCAATTTATGGTATAACCAATTTAACAACATTAACTTGATGATTATTTTTGTTGAATATTCTAGAAAACCAAATACCTACATGGTCAATATATTTGTTAATTGCTGCATTTCTTGCATCTTATATTCCACAAAGTCTTGATAAACGTCTTTTCTCAAGAGAATATGAAAAACGCAAACACACCCGAAAAGGAAGGAAAAAAGTATCTAATGCATTAAAGGTTCGTATATTTAATAAGCGCATGTAATTTATATATTATTTTTTAAATTAACCTTTTTTTAAAAAAAATAAAAAGTTCAATGAACAATTCACAGGACCTCAAGCAAGTGAAATGGAACGTATTTTCGCTATATTTCAAAGCATTCATCAAGATTCAGTCGTTCCTTATATACTTCTTTTACAACAGGTTTGAAATTTTTTTTTATCATTAAATGTTATATTTTTGTTTTCAGATCATAAGCTAAAACCTTAACTCTAACTAATAGACTGAGACATTTGTTGCTTCTCGTGTTTTTACTCGTACAACTCCAGTAGAACGTAAAGATGTTCAATCGTTTAGATGTAATCTTAGTTATAATTATATTAAACAAATTTCTAGGTTTATTAATTTTGATATTCTTAGATATTTAGATGATACTTTATAAAAGTAGTAGTGTAATTAGAAAACCAAACATCTTTTAAAATAGAAATAGGGGAAATAATTGTGTAAATTCAGTGTGTAAAATAAATTTACATTGAAAGATATCTTTAAAAACAAGAATTAAAGGTTAATTAATTGATCATTAGTTAATATGTTATTAACAAATTTATATAGGTGCAGTCAGACCCATGTAGTCATACCTATATAGTCACATCTCTTTCTAAGCATATGGGAGCTTTGCAGTAAAAAGGAAGAAAACTCTAAAAAAATTTTTTTTTAAGATAATGTTAAATCTGGTCTTATTTAACTAAAAAAATCATATTTAGTTTATAAAGTAAAATTTTAATCTTTTAGAGTTTTTTTTCTTTTACTACAAAGTTCCAATATAAGCTATAATCACTATCACACAAAAATTTCTAACATACATATCTTTTTTTATTAATAATTAAACCTCTAGTAATCTCATAGTTATTATTAATATATCAAGTTGATCAATTCAGATATTCTATAATATACAAATTATTTTTTTAAGAAATAAAAAAAAAACCCATTTAAAATTTTATCAATATTTTAAAAGATGATAGTAAAAATGTTTCAAGTTTATATGATTATTTTAAATTACCATTCAACCTACTTAATAGAATTTCAATAATATTAAATTATCAAATATTTTTCTTATAATAATTTTAAAGTATTATTTAAAAATAAAGAATTTATTGTATTAAACTTTTTAATTATACTAATTTGTTATAAAGATTTTTTTAAAAAATTTGATTATAATAAAATTCTTTTTTAAATGAATATCAAATGATATTCAAGTGAAATTTCAAATTAATACAAAAAAAATCTTTCTTATTAATGTCTTCTATTAGACTTAATCAAAATAGCATCACTTAACTATTAGTAATAATATAAAATATCAAATATGTAAGTGATTAAAGCAAATATAAATTAACAATATACAGTAAACTCTCTATAAATGCATTCTTTATAAGTACACACTCTCTTTATATACACGCTATGACTCAGTCTCAAGCTCAGAACTTAAACTAAGTATTCACCTTCATATTCTACACGTGCAAGCAATTTTGAATCCTGAATATATTAGAGCATCCTTTATAAATGCATTCACATGATCAGTAATCAATCAAAATTAACTGTATTATTACGTGATAACTAATTTAATTTAAATAATTTCATGTATACTTTCAAAGAAATCAAAAAATGCTAATAAATTTAACTATTGAAAATAATTTTACAAAAAAAGCATATTTATATCATTTATAAATGTATTTTTTATTTTTTTTATTGAATATTTCTAATCAGTTGTACAATTACTTATAAAAATAATTAATCCAAATTTTACAAGTGTGTAAACGAATTAATATAATCAAACTATTTGAAAAATATTTAGAAATAATCATATGAGATGAATATGCTTACAAGTAAATAAAACATGTTAGTAAATAAATAAACTAATATAAATAGAAAGCAGATTGTTGAAAGTTATCATAAAAAGAAATTAGATTCCATTATGTATTTAATTTAAGAAAAAAAGATCGAAAATCTTACATGATTTATATAACATCTATCCATTTTTTATTGAAATAAATACTTACGCTACCATGTTATTTAACAGTATTCCCTTAAAAACATAGTTCTTAAAAGAACCACTCTTACTGAAATTCAAAAATGAGACCTTTGTATTTATGCTTGTGATAATAGTAAAAAGACTCGAGCTCAATATATTAATTGGATCGAAGAATAATGAGGCCTTAGACTTGATGAAAGTATAATTACTCATATTTTACAAATATTAAAAAAATAATTTGATTTAGAAATTATTAATCTAAACATAAAACAGCATAAACCTGTCACCTATCTGAAATTTAAGCTTGCACTCAAAGAGTTTATTTTAGATTATTAGTATCAAACAATTTTAAGTGATATAATACTTATTAAAAAGCTAAAATACTTACCAATACATTAAAAATTCCTCAAGATAAATCACAATTTTCCTCAGCATGGCTTCAAAAGTTCAAGGATCAGAATAGTATTTGTCAATGAAAACTTGAAGGAGAAGCTTCATCTGCTAATAAATCTGCTATTATTAATGCTTTACTGTATAATGCTCATTAGTACCCCTTTTGCAAAATATCCTCTTAAATAGTAACAGATATTATTCAATCATAAAATATAAAATTTTGATTAATACTGGGGTACTAATAAATCAACCAATTAAATTGATCAATATGTCGATCAAATTTATTTCATCAATCATAATATTTTAAAAAATAAATGCACATTAATCAATTATATTTTATACAATATTAAATGCTATTTTATTATATTTATTA